TGGATCCCTCGTGGCTGACCAATCTTGGTGCTTGGTGCTGATTCAGCACAACTGACAGAACCGTGAGCGGGAATCTGGTCGACCCCGCTCGTTGCCACAGGGTTTGGCGGCACGTGTTCATAGTAGTCTGACATGTCCCAAAGAATCGCCCCCGAGTGGGCCTCGCGCCCGGCCGCCTCGGCCGCTTCGGGTACCAGCGCCTGCTGGAACACCACTTCTGAGATGCTCCTCCCCCCTTCTGGTGACACAGGAAGGGCCTCGGACGTGGTGCCTCCCATGCTTTGGCTAGCGGTGGTCGGCACTTTGCCCAGACTCTGGATAAAGCTGGGGGGAGCCCTTTGACTGCGAAATGCGGACCCCCCGGCTGCTTCCCCGCTGCTTTTTGGATCAGCGTGGCGATGACGGTTTGTACTGCCGTGGGGGATCTACCATTCTTGTCTACCGCGTGCAGCATTTGTGCGACCACTCCCAGTTGGTCCCAGTTGGTCCCAGTAGTTGTGCGCCTCGGGTGAAACCCATCAAGTGTTTGGGCAGCGTCCCTGGAAAAAGGTGAACGAAGCCTCTCGAATGGCTTCTGGCCGTAAGGGAGGCAGCTGCTTCCCCCTGCGGCGGTCTAAACGGCGGGCGCGGCAGAAGCGAATCGTCCCACAGTCCAGCTGGCCTGGTGGCCTCCGCCTGCAGGAAGCTGGAAGGTCGCCCCGACCTTTCCTCATGTCACTTAATTTGCGTGGGGGTTCACATTGGTGGATTATTGAATCGCTTCGCTCATTCCGCCGGCCCGTGATATGGCATCGCTGGTTTTTGTCTGTGTGTTCGTTGCCCATGTTGCGCTCTTGGGGGCGGGTGTCGTTCGGACGCGTTGCGTGGGGAGTTTTGATGGTGAAGCAGTTCCCTGGGGGTCGTCTCTCGATGGGGCGAAATAGAGTCGTCGTCAAGATGCTTCTTTGGGGGGCCTCTTGGGGTCTGTTGAGAGGCCGTTCGGGGGCGCCTGGGAGACATGTTTGAAGCCTTCTGGGGCTTCTTTTGGGCCTCCTGGGAGTCTCCTGGGGCCTCTTGGCGACATCTTGGGGCCTCTTGGAGGCCTCTTGGGGCGGGACACTCCATTTTTGAGTTCTCGGTATCCCTCCTGTCTCTGGGGGGCCTCTTGGTCCGTCTTGGGCCGTCTTGAGGGCTCTCTTGGGTCGTTTCGGCGCCGTCTTGGGAGCTTCGTGGGCCGTCTTGGAGCGGTCTTGGGGGCCTCTTGGGCCGTCTTGGAGCGTCCGGAAGCCGAAAAAGCCAGAACACAAAAAACATCGAAAAAACCAATGAAAATCAACGATTTTGGCCTCTTGGGGCTCTCTTCGGAGGCCTCTTGGAAGGCTCTTGGGGCGTCTTGGAGGCCTCTTGGGCTGTCTTGGGGGCCTTTTGGGCCGTCTTGGGGTCATCTTCGGCGTCTTCGAGCGCTCTTTGGGCGTCTCGGGGGCCTCTTGGGCAGTCTTGGGGGCCTCTTGGGGCACTCTGAGCGCGCTCTGGGGAGCCTGAGAGGCCGCACCCAGAAGGAAAACCATCTCTGAGTAGACTTGGTCGGGCGGCGGTCGGGCGGCGACGTTTGGGGCGGGGTACCTTTTCGCCGGGGGACCCCCAGGGGCCGCCCCGCGCGCGCGAACTAGAAATACTGTTACTGTTAATACTGTTAACCAGTTACCGGAGATCTTAGCACGCCCTGGCCCGTTGGGCCGGCGAATTTGTCGACCATATGTGAGCCCACCCTACAGATTTGTCATTGCCATGTTTGACCCATGCTCGCCACGCTTTGGTGCGGTCTTGGGTCTCTAGCTGTAGTTGTTTTTCCAGTTGGGCGGAGATTTCTTCCGCTGGGCCCGCCAGGGCCGTCAAAGCTTGCTGTGCTGGTTTGCTGATGGTACTACCGCGTGGGGCAATTTGGCGACAGCAGAACTCTATCTCAGACAGCGTCGCCCTCGTATCTATTGACGGGGGCGGCACGTCCGCACGTGCCTCGGCCGCTCGAACTAAGGCTTCCCCCATCGGGGCACCCGTGGCCAGGCAGCACTGCACATCCTGTAACTTGTTTGAGATACGCCTCAAAGTGGTCGACGTGCGGGTAATGCGCGCCACCTCTGCCGCAAAGGCCTTGGCACATATCGTGTAAAAAGGTATCCATCAGCCGCTGGTGAGTCTCTAAGCATTTCCCTGCAGACAACTGCTTCAATAGCGCAGCTGCCGCAGCGCTGAGATGCCTCCAGTCTGCGTGCGGCAGCTGCGGTCCGATCATTGCTTCGGCCCGGAAGCGCGCGGGCTTCCTGAGCATTGGGATTAAAACAGATCTGTCAAGGAGCATGGTGAGATTGACTGGCCTGTGCGGGGAGGGATTAAACGCTACCAAGGGCTGCGCGTCCTTTATCAATGCATGCAGCGCAACAGACACCATATAGTAGTCAAGTTTGGACTGGGCTTTCTTAGTGTACATCGTTGGCCGGTTTGGCGTGACCAGCTTGAAACGCCCTCGTTTCTCAAAGTCGGTTCCTAAAATGTGAGATGGGCCCATATTAAAATCACCCCCCGCCAAAGTGGCAGGCCGGTTTCATGATGCAGTATGCCCAGGTGTGCTAGCAGTGCCCTGTTGGCATCATTCATTTGCACCGCAGGGTGTAAGTATATAGACACCAGCAGAATGGGCGCAAAGCCTGGTTTTTCGAGCCTTACCGCCACTAGGCGCTAGGCGCTCCGGTTCTGCACACTGTGTCGCGGACAGCGGGCACAGGGAAACTCCCGTGTCCTTGCCAGCTCTGACCAAAATTGCCACTCCGCCAACTGCCCGGCTGGGGTGAAACTCGGCTGGGGTGAAACTCGGGAGCCATCCTTTGCTCCGGCAGCGTTCGATTGCAAGGTGTATGTCGTGAGGGTCATCCAAGAGCGTCCCATAGGAGAAACAGACCTGCGTACGGCTCCAAGGGCCCGTCATCAAGTCTGTGGCGCATGGCGGTCCACGAATTCCCGTTAAAAGTGGCTACCAAAACCGACTTTATAGCCGACGGGACAAGTAGGGAAGTCACCATGCGCGCCGGGCCCGCTACACCTGGCCTGTCTTCCACAGCCTTGCTACCCAGGCGACGGTGCTTGCGACGCCGCCGCCGCGCTGGCCTTGGGGGCGGTCAGGCTGGTGGCCGTGGGCAGGGGGGCGGGCGTTGCGCCTGTCCTCTCTGCTCCCTCTGCCGCGCCGCCGTCTCCTATTGGCTTGTCTTCATTGGGTCGCTCCTGAGCGTCCGCGGCCAGCGTGCCCGGTAGCCTGTGGTTGCATGCCTCGAGTCGCACCTTTTCCGCTGCAGCCTGCTCCTCCAACCACTGCGCCTCCGCTTCAGTCCCTTCGTCCATCGCCTTCAGCTCCGCTTGTTTCTTTTCAAGGGCCTTGCTGGTGTCGTTGATGGATAGCGCCTTCTGCTTGAAGGGCGCCCCCCGTAGCCCTGGGTCGTGGGCCATCGCCATCTCGCTGCCTGTCGCAGCTTTGGCCATATGCGCCTCCTGGACCTTGGTGACTATTTCGGGCTCTGAGAGGTAGCTCACCTCGTCGGGGTGCTCCTTCATGTACGCGTTGATCTGTTGAGGTGAAGGTTCTGGTTTCGGCTCTGTCGGTGTGAGGGAGGTCTCGAGAATCATAAGCTGCTGGATCTTCCCTTTGAGCTTATCAAGTGTCTCATTGATGTTGATCGCCAGCTGTTGGTAGGCGTCGCACTTGGCCTCTATCTCGTCTGACATCTTGGTGAGTTCCGCCTTCAAGCGGTTCACCTTGTTCCACTCCGCGTTGATGGCAGCCTGCAGACGCTCCGCCTGCACCTCCCCGGGCAGGTACAGGAAGGACTTTTGCCGATACTCCGTCAGGGTTATGATGTTCCAGCCTACTTTAGCCCTGATCACCAGAAAGAATGTCGAGCACCACAAACAGCCCCGAAATCCTAGGGTTTTCACGTGTCGGGCCCTGGGAGACTCGCCCGACACTGTTTCGACATTGTCTCGACACTCTTTTGACACTTGCCCTGGGTGCTCGACATTGCTTCTGGGATGTGGCCCTCAAGTGGGATGGGAGCAACACAATTCCAGGGTCTGCTGTGCCTGGAGCAGCTTGGGGTGGCCGCTGGGCACCCTGCTCTTCCAAGAGCCCGCCTCCGCCCGACCGAATGGCGGCAGGCCCCCGACGGCGAGCGTCCGCGCGCCTCCTGGGCGGGGTGGGCCGGCAGGCCCCCTGGACGGCGACGTGTCGCCGGTGCCACCCGGTTGTCCCCCCTACGGAGCCTCTCCTCGGAAGCTGGAACATGCAGGGCAGGTTTTGTTATGATATATATAGACATAGAGATATGTGAAAGCCTATGATTCTGAATACATGAGTAAGTTATGGATGAATGTATGCATGAGCTCATCGTTGCTTTTAATACTGAATCCCTGCATGTATCTTACATGATCTGCATGCGGAGCATGTATAAAAAAACGGCACCGTATATCGGCGTCACCCCAACATACTTATACTATATGTGCGTCGCCCCCCCCCCCCCCCCCAGGGGCGACGCGCGCACCGAGAAATATCTTAGTATACGCGTCGTGGCGGGCGCTTTATTGTCACACCTCTCGGGAAACGATCTACTACAAGATGGCTATACTATACGTTCGGGTCGGACTACTATAGAGGAAAATAGTACTAGTACGTCTCCAAGGAGAAAATATAGTACTGGTATGTCCATGTGCGTCCCAATCCACAATCATTACCCGTGGCGGGATGTTTTTCAAACCCCGGACTTTGTGTGGGTCGGGGACGACGTAGGGGCGGTGTGGTGCATACTTGTCTTATCCATTTCCCGAGGGCACAAGGAATAATGTATACACCAGGATCCCGTATACACCAGGATCTGGTTTCCTATGCGAGTTTCAGTGCGGGGCCAGAAAATGGCGTCGGTGTGTATATAGAGTTTGGCTCCTTCTCTCTTCTCCCCCCCAGCGTCGCCCCTCAAGAGGCGGGACCCCCCCGCCGCGGGCGACATGGGCACGTCCCTCGGGCGCGACGCAAAGCAGCCAGCGCAGCGCGCGGCCTGGGGCCGGCCGCAGATCGACCAGTTCTGGGCGGCCCTCGAGGCCGTGCCCGGCTCCGCCCCGAAGGACGAGGAGGAGCACGACGAGGTCTTCTTCTCGAGGAAGTACTTCGCGGGCAGGGTCGGCGGCTGCGCGCGCATCGACGTGCGCCGGAAGGGGTGCGTCCTGCAGCCGCTCACCGTGCGGACGAAGGCGTACGAGCCCACCGCGTCCAACTATGCCGCCAAGGCGGGCAGGGACTTCCAGCCGTTCGAGCGGGACATCCACTTCGCGGCGGGGCAGACGTGCCAGACTTTCGAGATCGAGCTCCCGCGCAGCAGGGCGTCGTGGGCTCCGACGGCGTGGTTCCGCGTGGAGCTGGCGGCCGTCGTCTCCGGCACTGCCCGCCTCGGGGGGCCCACGGTCCCGCAGAGAGAGGCCCACCAGGGGCCGATCGCCCGCGTCTACATCCTGCAGGATGTCGACTTCCCGCCTGGCGCGCCGGAGCACCTTTGGAGCGAAAGCAGCACCGGCTTCAGGCTGATGCTCCACTACCTCAGGATGCAGCGCCACGCCCGCGGGGAGAAGTGGACCAAGACGTTGGTTGGCCTGTGCTACGACCCCATACACACGGTGGTGGTGACGGCTTTCGTGAAGACCTGGATGCTGGACTGGGCCGCGAACGAGGACGGGCCGAAGGACTACCACTCGATCATGCTGCTCGTCTGCCTCTACATCTTGTCCACCGCCCTGAACAGGTGGGGAGACCAGGTCCAGACGAAGAATCGCGGTCGGACCGGGGCCATCAGGAGTCAAGGGTGGAAAACCACCCCGACCCCGACAATTCGCGCTTACTGAATAGCCCTGGGCGTTTACTAAACAGCCCTGCCCTGTTCGATTCCTTCCGTGGGTGCGTTTACTAAACGGCTTCGCTTGTCGGGGTGCTTAGTATGGGGGTGGATTTTCTGCTCTCTAAGGATGGGACACCGCAGGGACTTGTTCTGCAAGAAGATGATGCTGGAGCACGTCGAGCACTGCCGGGTGCCCGCGGAGCAGTGGTTCTACGTGGCCCTGCAGAACGTCGACGTGGTCACCATGGACGGCTACTGGCAGGGGTTCCTGTTCCTGCAGAGCGTCTTCGCCCTGCTGCTCTCCATCACGGTCATCCTCGTCCAGGCGGGTCTTCACGCCCAGTACACGCCTGGGCACACCATCACGTTCGCCATGCTGTTCCTGCTCGTGCCGGTGGCCGTCTGCCTGAGCATAGCCCGGCGGGTGCGCACGGAGGTGCTGCTGACGAGGCGCATGGAGGACGAGGCCATGTGGGTGGACACTTGGGCCTGGCTCACCAACGCGGGCTCGCAGCTGTTCAGCTTCGGGCCCAGGGAGAAGGCCCGGGTGGAGGCCAGCTTCGCGGCGGAGAGCAAGGATTTTGTGGGCTGGCACCAGAAAGCACGCGACGAGATGAACGACACAGCGTGGATCATACACTGGGGCACCGCGACCTCCTACGCCCTGATCCTCGGGCACGGCGGCATCGCCCTGCTGCGTGGGGATATGACCGCCGGCCAGTTTGTGCTGCTCTTGAACATCGCCAGCTCCTACAGCAAATACCTCGGCAGAGCCTACGAGAGCGTGGTCTATCTGCAGCGGGGCAGCGTCTCCCTGAAGCGGCTCTGCAGGCTCATGAACTTGCCAGAGCACAAGTCTCTGCAGGAGGCCCTCGGGAAGGAGGCGCGGGAGCCGCCCGAGGAGAGTCGGCGCTCCCGGCGCAGCTACACTCAGCTCATGGACCTGCGGCAGCTGGAGTTCCGGGATGTGCGGCTGGACCTCCCCAGAGACCACGACCTCGGGCCCCTGAGCGCGCTGCGGCTGCGGTCGGACGAGGCGCTGAGCATCCCGCTGGGCAGGGTGGTGCGCATCCGCGGCGGCTCGGAGGGTCTGCGGTACAGCTTCATGGCGCTGGCATCGGGCGTCGTCCCGCCAACCAGGGGCAGCGTAGTCTGCCCCGGCGACGTGTGGGCCATCATGATGGCAACGACACCGATGAGGTCCAGCCACCTCACGGTGCTTGAGGCGCTGATGCTGGCTGGCGCCAAGAAGGAAGTCGCCGAGAACTTGGCACGTGCATTGTGCCTGGCCGCGGACCTGGACACGAGGGCTCTGGCTCCTGGCGAGCTTCAGACACTGACCCTCGTGCGCGCCCTGCTGCGCGATCCCGACGTCCTGGTGGCCTCGCGGCCGCTGAGCTACGTGCTGCGGGGCTTTCGCGCCAACCTCGTGCGGCTGCTGCGTGCCTGGCAAGCTGGCGGCGCTGGGGCCGTGCTGAGGGTCGCGGGCGACGTGACGGCGAGCATCGGTCCGGAGCTGGCGCTCCAAGAGACGTTGCCGCTGAGGCCCGACGGGCTGGGCTCCGCGGAGCCCAGCGCCTGGAGGCGCGGCAACCACCGCCGCACGCTGCTGATCACCGACGAAGACATGGGGCGAGATGTCGACCCGTGCGACGTCTTCGTGGACCTCGACGAGGTCGTGGAGGTCCTCCTAGGGGGCCACATGCGAACCCTAGCCCCAGCCCCCACGATTGCTGAGGGGAGGGTGGGGTTCACTTCGTTCGGGAGCAGTGAACCCCATCCTTCCCCTCAGAAATCGTGGTGGGTAGGAGGAGGAGGATCCTCGAGGAGGAGGAGAAGGAGAGGGAGGAGGAGGGGGAGAAGGAGGCCGAAGAGAGTGTCCGCAGGGATCCAGGAGCAAGCGCAGGACCGGGCCTCGTCAGCTGATGCTGCTCGGACGGCGACGCACGCGCAGCCGCGAATGAATGCCGTCTGCAGGGTTCGCATGTGGCCCCCTAGAGGTGGCGCCCCCCTCTGGCAGCGGCCGCGGGACCGAGAGCTGGGCGCCCCTGGGGGCGGCGAAGGCGCGCTGGCAGCTGTGACCGTCGGGGAGTCTGGGCCGTCGCTGGCGCTGGCGACCGCAGAGGCGATCGCAGCTGCGACCCTCTTGAGGCACAGGGGCGCCTGCGCTGGGACCCGCGCTGGGCCCGTGGGAGCAGAAAGCAACGAGGGTCGTGGCGAGAATGGAGTCCTGGCGGTGGGTGGGCCCAGGAGTGCGCCACACCGGCTCGGAAAGCCGGCAGCTTCTTGTTGTCCGCCTGGGTCTTGAGTTAGGCATCGCTGACCGTTGAGGCCAAAAGGATATATGCATGCGGTTCGATTCGGCCGCCTTCGGTGTGTATCCCAGGCCTCGCGTCACTGGTCGGGCCCACCTACCTATTGCGGCGGCACTTTATGACTTTTCTCTGACATGTTACCCCGCTGAGCCGTAGACTTTCTCCCAGGTGGTTCCGTTCGCGTACCCCCCTACAGAAGTATTCGGAACACGCTTTTGGCGTCGATTGCCAATCGTTTTGCGTGATAGGGTGCGACCACAGCTGTGCAAGGGTGTGACTGCACCGACACTGCACTCTCCTCTTCCACGATGGCCATACATACAAATGGTTGGGCTCACCCGCATCAGGTTGGCTCGGGTGGCTGCTTCATGCAATGATGCTTGTCGCGATGTACACATATAACGGCGCACCGGGCCCAGGGACCGAGGGCCGGAACCTCGACCGCAAATGTGGGTCCGGCCCGGGCCGGCCTCTGGGAGGCCTGAAATCGCCCTGGGGAGCCCTCAGACAGCAATCCCAGCGAGACACACCCCAGACGCCGTCGAGGGGTCTCTGGCGACGCACGATGCGTTCTATATTGCCCAGGAGGCCCCCAAGACGCCCCAAGAGGCCTTCGAATGCTGCCCAAGAGCGCCCCGAGAGGGCAAAATCGTTGATTTGTTTTGCATTCTTGCTGTTGTGCGTTTCGGGCGCTAAAGCACCGCAGAGGCTCCAAAAACCGCTCCAAGACGTCCCAAGAGGGCCCCAAGACGGCCCAAGAGAGCTCGAAGACGGCCCCAGGGCCGCCCAAAACTGCGCAAGAGGGTTCCAAGAAGGCCCCAAGAGGGGCCCAAGAGAGGGAACGCGAACTGAAGAGTCAAGCTCTCCGCCCCAGGATGCTCCCAAGAGGCCCCAAGAGGCCCCCAGAAAGCCCCCAAGAAGCCCCAAGAGGCCCCCAAGAAGTTCAAAAGAGGTTCCAAGAGGGCCCCGAGACGGCCCCAGGGCCGCCCAAGACGGCGCAAGAGGGCCCCAAGAAGGCCCCAAGAGGGGCCCAAGAGAGGGAACGCGAACTGAAAAACCAAGCTCTCCGCCTCAAGACGCCAGCAAGAGGCCTCAAGAGGCCTCCACGAAACCCCCAAGAGGCCCCAAGAGGCCCGCGGGCCGGGCCCCGACAGCGCATGGGAGGACCGGGGCCTCCGAGACCGCTTCCAGAGCACCCTGGAGCGGCCCTGGAGCCCCCAGACTGCCCCAGAGTGCTCCAAGACGCTCCCAGAAGCTCCGGGGGGACTTCGACAAGCCCCTCCAAGACAGCCCAGATAGCCCCAACATGGCCCAATATGGGCTCGAGAGGGCAAATACACAGCCCAAGAGGCCTCCAAGAGGCCTCAAGAGAGCTCCAAGAGACGTCCCGAGAGAGTCCGAAGAGGCCCAAATCCTTGATTACCTTTTGTTGTTTTTGATGTTTTCCGCTTTCTCGCGTTCTCGAGCTTCCAACTCTCCAAGACGGCCGACGACGCCCCCAAGGCCGCCCCAACACTACCGAAGAGGCCCCCAAAAGAGCCCCAAGACGGCCCCAGGGAGCTCGAAAATTGCCCAAAAGGAGCCCCAGACGGCCCAAGAGAGCCTCAGGACAGGCCCAAGATGGGCCACAGAGCGGGAGCGGGAGGCCCCAAGGCGCTCCAAGACGGCCCAGATGGCCCCAACGTGGTTCCAGATGAGCCCAACACGGCAAGTACACAGCCCAAGAAGCCTCTAAGAGGCCCTAAGAAAGCTCCGAGAGGCGTCCCGAGAGAGCCCGAAGAGGCCCAATCCCTGTCTTCCCGCAGTTTTTCCGTGTTTTCCGCGTTCTCGAGCTTCCAACGCTCAAGGACGGCCGAAGACGCCCCGAAGACGCCCCGAAGATCGCCTCAAGACCGCCGAAGAGCCCCCAAAAGAGCCCCAAAACGGCCCCAGAGAGCCTGAAGATTGCCCAAGAGCAGCCCAAGACGCAAGAGGCCTCAAGGCGCTCGAGGACGGCCCATATGACCCCAACGTGGCCCAACATGAGCTCAAGACGGCAAACACACAGCCCAAAACACACAGCCCAAGAGGCCTCAAAGAGGCCCCGAGAGAGCGAGAGACGTCCCGAGAGAGCCTGAAGAGGCCCACATCCTTGATTTCCCTTTGTTGTTTTTCAAGGTTTTCCGCTTTCTCGCGTTCTCGAGCTTCCAACGCTCCAAGACGGCCGCCCAAGACGGCCCGAGAGGGCCCCAAGACAGCCCCAAGAGAGGGCCAAGAGGGGTAACACGAACCGAAAATCCAAGCCTTCCATCCCGAGAGGCTCTCACAGGAGGCCCCGAGAAACCCCCAACAGGCCCCAGGAGGTCCCAAGAAGCGCCCCAGGGGGCCAAAGAGGTTCCAAGAGGCCTCCCAAGAATGCCCCAAGAAGCAACAATCATTGTCTTGCCATCGTTTTTTGACTTATTTTCGAGGTTTCAGCCTTTGGGTGTCCCGACGCTCCAAGACGGCCGGAAAGGCCTCCAAGACCGTTTCAATATAACGGCCGTCAGGGGCCCCGGGCCCTGGGCCTCCCACTTGGCGTTCCCTACGCCTCCAGGGCCCTCCTCGGCGCCCGCAGCGGACGCCCACGGGCCGCCAAGACGGCCCAAGAGCGCACCAAGCCGCCCAAGATGGCCCCATGATGGCCCAAGAGGCCCCCAAGAGGCCCCAAGAGCGCTCCGAGGGGACTTCCAAGAGCGCCCCAAAAGGCGGAAATCATGGATTGACAGTGTGGTTTTCAACGTTTTTGTCGCGTTCTCCCGTTTTCGAGAGTCCCACGTTCCAAGATTGCACAAGACGCTTCGAACCTCGCCCCCAGAGGGACCGAGAGGCCACCAAGACGGCCCCAAAGCTGGCCCAAGAGGGCCCCCAAACGGCCCAGGAGGCGCCCAAGACGGCCCAAGAGTGCCCCAGGACGGCCTCAGGACGGCCCCAAGAGGGGCCCGAGAGAGGGGGAACACGAACCGACAATTCAGGCGTTCCGCCCCAAGAGGCCCCCCGGAGGCCCCAAGAGAGGCCCCCAACAGGCCCAAAAGAGGGCCCAAGAGGCTCCAAACCGGCACCCTGGAGGCTTCAAAACTGTTTCTAAAAGGCCCCCGAGAGGCCTTGCACGATAACCCAAATATCCTAACGAATTTCCAAGAGGCCCTAACCCACAACCCAGAAACGGTGGCGGTATGGGCCGAAGGCACCAAGAGGCAACGAATATTTATTTCCTATACGGTTTAGGCGGCGTTGCCGCTAGCACCCCAGGGATGTTGAGACAAAAGGCACCGCAAACGCAGAGTTGAAAGGGACAATGCGGGAGCAGACGATAGCCCAGAGTTGAAAGTGCCACCAGGCCCAGAGTAGGCCAGATCAGGCCCTGTGCCGGGAGAAACGCATTGAAATAGCTGCAACACAATCCCACTAAGTGGGATCAGGAAAAGCCGGTGGTGGATATGAAGATCCAACGGGGAATGCTCCAGGCTTCAGGGGATTAGGGCCTGACGTGGCTCCCAGACTGCCGCCGCGTAGCGGACAGATCCTGCCCCCCCGAGGCCAATTTAGAAAACATGTAGCTTGTCCCGGCCGCGTGGCCGATGGACAGTTGATGCCCAGCAGCCTGGTGGGGGGAATGCGTGATTTCTCCCTGTCCCTGTAAGACATCTACGTGGCAATCTGAACGGTCGCCGGCCGGGGCTGGCCGACCAGCCCGAGGATCCATTGGGGGAGGGAGGAGGGAGGAGGAGGAGGAGGAGGAGGAGGAGGAGGAGGAGGAGGAGGAGGAGAAGGAGGAGGAGGAGGAGGAGGGGGACGAGGAGAAGGACGAGCTGTTGTGCTAGCGTTTTAGGGGCGTCCACCACTTATCTTGCACACCTTATCCCTGGGATCTCTGAGGTTCCGGAACCCTCGGGTTCGTAAGGCCTTTTGCGTTATTGTGAATTGTATTGCATTGTATTCCGCTTGGCTGCTTCCAGACGGATGTGCACTGGCATGGCTCCGCACACGGCATTGCTCTGGTGAGCATTGGTCTTGCCTTCGTTTCGTTGCGTTGCATCGCGTTGCCTTGCCTTTAATTTGTTGTGCAAGTTTTGACTTGCAATGCTTCTCACTGCATGGCGCTCGCATCTGGTTTCCATGGCACTGCGTCGCATTGCAGTACCAGCGTGAGCACTCCATTATCTTCACTGCTTTGCATTGGTCCGCATTGCATTGTGTGGGTGTGCCATTGTCTGTAATTGATCTATGTTCGACCCGCGATCCTGACGATTCGGTGTAATCTCCCCATGTTCGAGCCGTATGTTGGTAACTACATCAGAGGATATGTGAACTTGTCACGGCCTGGAGCTTGCTAGAACCTCAGCGCGCGAGGCCCGCGCGCGGTTCTGGTTGTGTACTATCGCGGCCACTGCCGGTATGTAGTATGGCTTACATGTCCGGGTGGTGACGACTATGTAAGTGCCAGGGGGAGGAGAAAGTCTGACGTGTCTCGCAAGACCTGCTTCCCAGAACAAGAACAAGCAGCAAAAAACGCCGAACCGCATCGATCCTCGACCCTCGACCTGATCCTCATTCTATCGGATCCTCCTCCCCTTCCTCCGCCCATCCGCCCTCTTCTCCTCCTCCTCCTCCTCCTCCTCCTCCTCCTCCTCCTCCTCCTCCTCCATCACTCGCTCCCTCCACCTGGCCCCTCTCACCGCCTGGCCCCAACCTCCAGCTCAGCCCCCGCCTTCCCTCCCCCCGCCCCCCGCCCCCTCCTCTCCCTCCCCCCCCATCCCTCCGCGACCACGCGTCCTTAGCGCGAGCTCGCCGCGCCCTCGGGGGCACCGCCTCCGCCCGCGCGCTCAAGCGCGCCAGCCTCCCCGCCAGAGCCCCATGGCGCCGGCGCGCCCCCACGCCCGCCCGCGGGCGGGCGCCCGGCCGGGCGCCCCGCGCCCGTTCGCCGCAGGGCGGCGGGGCCTCGGCGCCGCGGCGGGCGCCGCGGCGGGCGCCGCGGCGGCCGCCGCGGCGGCCGCCTGGGGCCCGGCGGCGCGGCGGCGCCGCGGCGGGCCTCGCCGCGGCCGGCGGGCGCGGCGCGCGCGCGGCGCCGGCGCCGGGCGCGCCGGCGCCCCGCGGCGTCGGAGGGGGCCGCTGTGCCGCGCCGTGGCGCGCGCTGCGCAGGCGCGGGCGGCCGAGCGCGGGCGCGGGGAGGCGGTCGGCGCGTGCAGCGAGCGCCGGGCCGGAGGGCGAGGCCGCGGCGGCGGTCGGGGCGCAGGCAGACGGGGGGTGGGAGCGCCGGATCTTGCAGGATCCAGCAGGGCCTGCGGTGCCTGGGCCCGGGCTCGCGCGCAGGATCCTGCAGGATGCTGCAGGATCTCGCAGGATCCCGCAAGGCCTGACCGACCCGGGTCTGGATTGACCCGGGTCAGTAGGTCCCCGAGGTGGCGTCGGGGCTGCGGGCAGTGCTGGGTCGCATCCAGGGCGCGGCCGCGGGCCGGGAGGTGAGCCTGGTGGCGGTCTCGAAGACGAAATCGGCAGAGGCCATCGGCGCTGCTCATGCCGCGGGGCAGGTGGTCTTCGGGGAGAACTACGTCCAGGAGCTGCTCGGCAAGGCGCCGCTGGTTCCTGCGGCTGTGCGCTGGCACTTCATCGGCAAGCTGCAGTCCAACAAGGTGCGCGCCTTGCTTGCTGGAGTGCCAAACCTGGTAGCGGTGGAGACGGTGAGCTCTGTCAAGCTGGCGGACAAGCTGGCCGCGGCGGCGCAGGAGCTAGGCCTGCGGGTGCGGGCAACGGAGCAGCGCGAGGGGAGCAGGGTCGGGCGGTCTTTCGGGAGGGCCCCCCGCCTCCCCTTCAGAAGCTTCTACGGCGGGGCCGAGCCCATCTGGGAGGCCCCGCCGTAGGCGCTTCTGAAGGGAGGCTTCTCAGACGGTGGGAGGGCTCCTCGGAGGCAGGGAGCCCTCCTGGAGGACCGCCCGCCCTCCTCCCCTCGCGCCGCTCCCCGGTGCCCGCGCCGCCCGCAGGCTGGGGGGTCGACGGCGTGGAGCCCCTGGGCGCCTACGTGCAGGTGGACGCCATGACATCCCCTCTGCCCCGCCGCACGCCCCCCCCCCCCTCCCGTCCTCCCCACCCCCCCGCGCTGCTGCACTGCTGCCACCGCCTTCCTCCGCCCCACTCCACCTCCGGATCTGACCTCTCGCCGTGCCGCCGACCCCGAGATCCCCGCGTCGCGTTTTTGCGGAGAGATGGGCTCCAGGGAGCTCTGGCATAGTTTCTGTCGATGCTGCAGGTGTCTCCTCGGGACGTCGGATCTCAGGGCCCGCCTTCGGAATCTGACCTCGCCGCCCTGGCGAGATGTGCCCGCGGGCGAGCGGGGAGAAAAAGCAGGCGGACCCCAGCGACAGGGCCTCCAATGCACGTGGGCGATCGTTGGGGAAAACATGTGGGCGTCTGCAGAAAATGGGGTCGATTGCGGCGGCATTCGCGCCTGAGCTGTCCGCGTGAGGCCGCGCGTCAGCGCCCTCATCTCCAATGTGGCGCGCCACGCTGGCGGTCGCGCAAGCCGCGGCATAATGACGCTATGTCATCGCACGTGAGGCCCGTCTCTTCTCCAGAGATCCGATGTCTTGACATGTTTCCGTACGTGGCCTCCAGAGGTTCCCACATTTTCCCAGGGACCGGCTCTTCATCCAGAGTCGTCTTATGACTGTCTGTCCTGCGGCCCGGCGAAGGCCCCCAGAGGCCGAAAATTGCAGAACACTTCCGTGCTGATCTTTTAGGTGCGATGGATCTTCGGGTTCGTCGCTCAGATCGGCATCTGAGTGGCAAACTGGCCGCATATGCGTTCGCCTGACCCTGCAAGCGGGGGGTCAGCGGCGAGGCCTCCAAGACAGGGGGTGCCCTATCATTGCGCGTCGCTCAGTTGGACACCGAGCGTGTCCTGGCGCGTTCGAAGCACAAGACGTCAAGTGCCTACTCGCAGACGTCTGGAAACCACATGTCTGCCCCGATGCAGTGGAGATCGTATGCCCCCCCCCGCGGCGGACCCAGGCCGTTTTCGGCGACTGCACAGGGTATGGTTACGCCGGGGTGTGGTTTGCGATCGGCACCGTTGGGGCTTGGGGGGCACGACGCTGCCCTGGTTTGGCCTCCCCGGGGCGCGGGAGAACTCCATCGAGGCCCCCGCCCGCCCCCCGGGATGCCCCCCAGGATGCTCCCCGGGGTGCCGGTTGTCAACCACACCCTTTGCAAGCCACACCCTTTGGAGTCGCCGACATCTGCGGGCAGCTGCTCCGCGAGTAGCGGAGCGCGCGCTCTCCCCTGACCCTGCTCGTCGCTCAGGTGAGGCGTTCCAGAAAGGGCCTCGCCAAGGATGATCGAAGGAGTCGTCGTCTCTTCCTCGGCGGAGGGCGGCGGGAGAAGCGGCGGAGGGCGGCGGAAGTAGGACGAGGCCGCCCCCGCCAGCGGCAGCTGGCGGCAAGGCGGCGGAGGGACGGCGCAGGGTTGCGGACCCAGACATGCGATGTCCTGATTTTTTCAGGACGGCGTCTGTGGAAGTCCAGACCCTTTCCCCGAGGCCGGTTTTTCATCCTGAATCGTTTGTTGACGGTCCCGGGGGCCCGGCGAGGGCTTCCCCGAGGCCGAAAACTGGTGGCAAGATCCCGTCCCGATTTCTGTCACGACGCGATCATGTCTGGGGAAGCGAGGAGTGAGCCCCCGAGAGACGGCCGCACACTCTGGGGCTCAGGGCTCCCGGCATCCGCCAGGTGGACACCAGCGGCGAGGCCTCCAAGAACGGCGTCCCCCCCGAAGAGGCGCCGGCGCTCGCGGCGCACGTCGCCCGCGCCTGTGCGGGCGGCCTGCGCCTGCGGGGCCTGATGACCATCGGGGCGCCGGGCGACCCCGGCGCGTTCGACAGGCGGGCCCCTCGGCGTCCTCCTCCTCCTCCTCCTCCTCCTCCTCCTCCTCCTCATCCTCCTTACTACTCCTTCTTACTCCTCCTCCTCCTCCTCCTCCTCCTCCTCCTCCTCCTCCTCCTCCTCCTCCTCCTCCTCCTCCTCCTCCTCCTCCTCCTCCTCCTCCTCCTCCTCCGTAGCCATTTTGGCTCAAGTCCCATGCTGCTGCGGGCCGAGCCCGCATTGGCAACCACGGACACCGCTGGCCCGCGGCGAGCAAGGCCCTTGTGCCTGGCAGTCTTTCTCGTGTGCCTCTACCGTGGGAGCTGGGCCCCCACACCGCAGTTTCCAGTTGCCTCTCGCTTCCGCGGTATGGCCGATGATGCCCACGGCGAGGAGGTCCCCGCGTCGCTGGTCGAGCAGTTCGATCTCGTGGCGACCTTCCCCTCGCAGGAGACGGGCGCTGGCCGTGGGAAGGGCGGCAAGGGCGCCTTGCCTCCTCCTCGCAAACGCGCTGCTCATGAGCACGCTGCTGCTGATGCAGCTGACGGTAACGACGCCTGGTCATCCGACGACTACCTCCGCCAGCTGTGCCGTGATGAGTTCGACTCCATGCGGGCCGCTCTCACTTCATCCGTCTCCGAGTCCGTCAGGGCCACCGTTGCTGAGAACCACTCGGTGCTGCTGGGATCCATCGACAAACTTCGGGAGCAGGTCTCTGGTCAGACCGCATCCATCGACCAGCAGGTTCAGAGTGTGGTTCGTCCTCAAGTCGACGCCCTGGCTCGCAGGCTCCAGTCGCAGATCGATGAGCACAAGAAGCAGATCGACGTATGTGAACGGCGACTGGGTGATCACGAAGACCAGCTCTCTGCTCTTCGTGCTGAATTGGCTGAGCTACGCCGCCATCTTGCCGTCGCTGAACAACGCCCCCAGGCCCCGCCACAGGTCCCCGCTGGCTTCGACAGGGACGCCGACTCCACCCTCCTCATCGCAGTGGCCCAGCGTGCAACTTCGCTCGAGGCCATGTCCGCCTGCATTCAGAACTTCCTCTCGGAGACGGGCTTCGACTCCAGCGAGTACGAGATTGTCTCGAAGGGTACCCTCCCGTGCAAACGCTTCGCGGTTCACTTCAAAGGGATGGTGCAACCAGCATCTAGAAAAGTCCTACGCGCCCTCTCAGCCCTCAAAGATGAGAACGGATGGAAGGCCTTCTTCGCCGATCTCCCCGGCCTGTCCGAGCGCACACGTGTCCACATGGGCCCCGACAAGTCCCCGAAGCAGGTCAAGATGGAGTACGTCCTCAGGAAGTGCCGCGCTGCCTTCGCCGCCGAGTTCTCGGCCCTGCGCTTCTTCACTGATCGGGACCGCGGGTTCCTCTCCATCGGCTGGGACAAGATCCTCAAGGTTGAAGTGGAGGCTGGGGGTGCTCCTCCTACTCTGCGCTGGGACGTCGCCAAGCTGGAGCGCCACGACATCACCAAGGCTCGCGCCATGCAGCTCACCTCTTTCCTCACGGCCTCGGCGGACGAGCCCGTGTGGTGTCTTTGACGCGCTGTCCCTCTTTTCTTCTTCGCGGTCCTGTTCCTCGGGTTCGGCCACTGCCTTGCGAGTGGTTTCTTGGAACTGCAGGGCCCTCCTTCAGGCTGCTGGGGCCAAGGCAGCCATCAAGCTTAACTACCTCTCCAAGCTCGGCCTCGACAAGTCCATCGTCTCTCTGCAGGAGGTGCACCAAGACGCCCTCCAGCTGGAACACTTCGTGCATCGGGTGTGCCCGCGATCCACCGTCCTTTCGAGTTTCTGTGGGTCCGAACCTGCTGACCGTGCGCGTGGTGGCGTCGCAGTCCTGATCCCTCCTCTCGCGCATCTTCCTGAGGACCCTGTGCAGGTGGAGTCCCGTCCTCTGATTCCTGGGCGTGTGCTGATGGTTACCCTGCGCGCCGCTCGTGCCTGCGTCTACCTCTTCAATGTCCACAACCACGAGCTGGGGGCCTCTGCCATCACAAGAGTGCGTGATGCTATTCGTACTGCTCTCGCTGAGGCTCGTGCCGATCCACAGCGTGTCCTGGTGATTCTGAATGGGGACTTCAACATATCGGAGGAGTCCGCCATGTCCCTGCTGGCACCGGTCGCGGCGTCTCGTCGTGGTGGCCGTCGGCACCACGCTGCCGCACCTGCCTGGAGGCCCATCTTCGATGACATGCTGGAGATTCAGGGCAGCGAACCGACCCACTACGAGCGGGCGGCGGGCAAGGCCAACATCATAGACCGCGTCTTTCTCTCCTTGCAGGGCTGGCAGGTGTGCCAGATGAATCTCACTTCCGCCACGATGGGGTCGGCGGCGGCGCTCTCGGATGCGAAAATCTCGGATCACACTGCGGTCATCGTCTCTCTTGCGTCCCGCTCCGCTCGTCAGCCTGCTGCTCGCCCTATCCCACGCCGTCTCTGTCGCGACCCTCGCTTTGTCCGACGTCTACGTGGTTTGGTGGCCTCTTCCTCGTGGGATAGCATGTCGCCACCGTTCAAGCTAGAGCATTACAAACATCTCATGCGCCTTGCTGCGTCAGAGGTGCGCGACTCACTCTTTATTGACAATCCCGACAGTCTCGACACTTTGTTGCAGGTGGCACGAATGATTGCACGCGTGGTCTGGAGGCAAGACGTCAAGCTGGCCCTTCGGATGCTGGAATCTCACCCTCGTGTCCGTGATCACATCACCGTCCGCTCCTCCGAGGTTGCACTCATCCACCCCTCGTCTTTCTCAGAATGGGCATCATCCATCCAGCGGCAAGCTGCGGAGGTGCGTCGGCGTGCTCTGGAATCCCAACTTTCTCGCCAACCTTCTGTTCGGGCCACCCGTCTGCAGTTGCGCGCGTTGGAGAGGAAGGCGAGGCTCTGGTCACCATTCTCTCGCTCTTTGGCTTTGTCGTCGATGCGGGTTTCGGATGACTGTCTGGTTTCTGACCCCGTCGAGCGCGTGGAGGCCCTGGCGTCCTACTGGAAACCTGTCTTTTCGCGGAAATCTTGGGATATCGATGCGGCTCGGGCTTATATCCCCTCCTGGCTCGCCCCCGTGAACACCATCGATTTCCCGCCCCCGAACTTGGCACAGCTTCGACGGGCCCTCCGTGCGGCCCAGGACTCCGCCCCTGGCATTGACGGTCTACCCTACGCCTCTTGGGAAGCGTTACCTTTTGGTCTTCATGTGTTGATGGATGCCCTCGATTGGATTGGCGATGGTCAGGCTCTCTTCGATTGCTCCTCCATCACTATCCAGGCTTTTCTCCCGGAGCTCGTCACAGACGTTGAGTTGCGTGATGGGGAATGTACTCGCTCGCCCGACAAGGTTCGCGTCCTTGGCTTGCGGAACACAGACGTCAAGTTGCTGTCATCCGTCATGAATCGTGCTCTCCAACCCCTCATCCATCATATCGTTCCGCCTTGCCAACGAGGGTTCGTCGGTGGTCGCAACTTCGGAGGCAACATTCTGGAGCTGGATGCACACGCTCGCGAGCTTTCAGTGGGCCCCCCTGGGTCGCCCGACATCCCGCTTCTCTTCTCGCTCGATTTCGGCCAGGCGTTCCCCTCACTCAACCAAGAGTTTATGGCATTTGTTATTCAGGTACTGAGGCTCCCTGAATCCTTCTTGGCTTTCGTTTCGTTTCTCTATGCGGCCATTCAGGGCGTGGCCTCGGTGAATGGGGAATGTGTGCCGATATTCTGGATTCGCAGTGGGATTATTCAGGGTTGTGCGCTCTCGGGCTCTCTCTTCGCCCTCGCTACCTCTGCCTTCCTCAAGGACCTTATGTTCTCCCTGGAGCCCTCTGGTCGTGGGATAGTTCGGGCCTGCGCTGACGATATTGGTGGTACGACTCGGTCTGTGGCGGACCTCGTCCCTGTACATCGGGTGATGGTCTTGGCGGAATCGTTTGCTAACCTCTCCCTGAAGCTCTCCAAGTGCCTCCTGGTCCCCCTCTCGGGCGTCTTCTCTGAGGAGCTGGCTGCTGCTGTGGTCGAACAACTTCGTCTATGGGTCCCCGAGTGGGCCTCCTTTGGCGTCGTGGAGGAGCTGCAATATCTGGGGCTCTGGCTTGGTCCCTCTGTGACCGTTGAACGACAATGGCGTGCTCCGTTGGCCAAGATACAGCATCGGGCTCAAGCTATTGGCCGTGGGACAACCCCGCCCAGTCTATCGGCCATACTCTATTGCACACGTGCGGTCCCGACATTATCATATGTCGCCCAGTTCTGCCACATGCCGCTGGTTGTTCTTCGCCTGGAGCTCATGATCTTGGCGCAGGTCTTCCGGGTAGCCTTGGGCACGTTCCCGCTTTCCTGCTGGTCCCTACTTCACGCCTGGGGAGGTCCTCGCATCACGCGCTGGGCCTTCATGGGATGTGCGGCGCTTGCCCGTGCAGCTCTTCATACGTTCCCGCAGTACTACGACATCCACAATCGGCTCCGACATCAT